TGACATGAGAAAGCAGTTGAGGAAGTTAGTAAACACAGATAAGGTGGAATTGAACGGACTTGTCGAGGATGTGGAGACTGAGCTGGGAGTGTGCCAGGAGAAATTCTTTGAACTTTCGGCGATGGTGGAAGAGTTGAAGGAGGGCAATGGTAGAGCAGCTCTAAGAGTGACTCAGCGTCTGCTTCATCTTGATCGTCGGGTTACTGCGCTGCGACAAGATCCTGATTCAGCGGCTAAAAGTGACGAAATTTCCTCACTAGCAAACGGAGTTGGCAATTTATTAGATAGCTTGAGGCGGATGGAGAGTATGTCCGAGGAAGCCATCTCTAAGGCCTCTTTGTTGTCAAAACCAGTTGTCGGTCAATCTTCACAAGAAATTAGCATGAGCGACGCAACCATGACTACGGAACCGTCCACTCTCAGGGTCAATGAAATTGTGAACAAGTTTGAATCCCGCTCTTTGAGTCAAGGAGTCCAGAAGTTAGATGACGGTGTAGTTACTACGGTCCAACCTAGCCTAACTGTTGAGCAGCCGTCGGCTGTCTTAACCACCAACGCTTCTCAAATTCAAGACTCCACATCTCATCTGACTTCACAAGCTGGAACGTCTTTTGGCCTAAGCAACCCGTCCATTAACGCCCCTAACTACAACAAGCTGCCTAACCCGCTTAGTGGATTGGTACAACAGATCCCTGCTACCGATGGCTTGGATGTTAACGTTTTGCTTAATTTCCTTAGTAGTCTGATTCAACTGAGAAACTTTCCAGGAATGACGGACCAGTCCTTATTACAATTGGCCTATCCTTGCTGTAGAGAGCCTCTCTTAGGTAAATTAATCCAGTATATGCATCCAAGTGGCAAATTTGATGCTTTCCATGAGTTAGTATTGCAATCTTTTCTTCCCATGAGATTGAGAGAACAGTTGAAGCAACAGAAATTCTATAGGCTACAAGGGGAGAACGAAAGCTTGGCAGGTTTTGTAAGCTCGGTGAGACATGCCCATACCTTGCTTCGCTTAGGGTTGACAGAAAAGGATCAAATCGAGGTGATAATGAGTGCCATGACCTCAACGGAGCGCTCTAGATTAGTATTTTCGGAGAGGCCGACTTCTTTTGCTGATTTGGATAAATTATGTGTGACGTCAAGAAGTATGGAGTTCACTGATGAGCTTAGAGCTCGAGAACCTAGAAGGCGCATTGGAGGAGTTATGGCTGTTAGTGAGAGGGAGATGCCACCACAGAGAAGATATGGAGGTGCTGTAACTTGTTACGGCTGTGGTCAACGAGGTCATATTCGTAGATACTGTCCTGGTCCTAGGCCTGCTCATTTCATTCCAAAAAACGGGCCATGAAGGGGGGAGTGTCCCGCGCTTCTCCCTTAGTAAATAAATATAGTCCAGAGTTTCAACGAAAATACTCTCCGAAGACTGTTCAAACATCAAAAACTCCTATTAGGCCTACGCCAAAACATATTACTGAACCAAAATCAAGATCCAAAAATCCGGAAACTTCTGTCCTGGCCCAAGTTGCTAGCCAAGGGTTTTCAGCCAAAACGTCTGTTTCTCCATTTGTAAATATTTCCACAAAACAATTTCACTTCCGTGCCTTATTGGACACAGGGTCTGTCCATTCTCTTATATCTCAGGAACTGGCCCAGGAATTGCAGGAACGCCGAATAATTAGACGAACTGAAATTACTGAAGTAAGGTGTTGGACTGCTTCCAGTGAACCCTTAAACATAAAATCCTTATCGACCTTTAGATTTAAAATAGAAGGATTTTCGTGGGAGTGGAGTTTTCTGGTGGCTGATGGTTTGGCACTGGATTGTATTTTGGGTGCAGATTTCATCTCGAGGACCGGTCTTACTCTGGATTTGGCCAGAGCAGAGGGCCGTTTTTCATTTCATCGTAGGAGGATTGTGCCTTTTGTAGACTCGAAAGGAGTAGCTTTGAAGGTCATGGAGGTCGAGTGTGAGGAGAAGGACCCGGTAGACCCATGTGCCCATCTCCCAATAGATCAACGGAGACGATTTTCGCAACTTTGTGATAAATACCCAGATGTTCTCACCGAAAAACTAGGCCTAACGAATTTATTAGAATATAAGGTTAAATTAACCGACACAAAATCAGTTAGATCACACCCATATAAATTCGCACCCCCAAAGATGGAGGTATTGAGGAAGAAGGTTGAGGAGATGTTACAGCAGGGAGTGATTGAGCCTTCTACGTCTAGTTATTCTAGTCCAGCTTTCCTAGTCCCCAAACCAGGAGGTAAACATCGTTTTGTTGTAGACTATCGTAAGGTGAATGCTTGCATTGAAATTGAATCTACTCCTCTGCCTGATCTTCATTCCGCCTTTGATTGGTTCTCCAAGGCTAAATATTTCAGTATTTTTGACCTTAATGCTGCTTATCATCAGATCCCCTTGGACAAGGAAAGTCGCCATATTACTAGCTTTTGCGTTCCCTGGAACTTGTACCAATTTACGAGAGTGCCGATGGGTTTAGCAGTAGGTGCACAGACCTTGACTAGACTCCTGGATTCCATTTTTCATGATTTGAAATTCAAATGTGTCTTCAACTATTTGGATGATTTATTAGTCTACAGCGAAGATTTCGATTCACATATGACTCAAGTGGAGGAGGTCCTTAAGAGGTTGCGACATGCTGGTCTCACTGTAAACCCAGATAAGGTTAAATTCTGCCACCAACAAATTTCTTTCCTTGGCCATCTCGTCTCTCACAAGGGAGTGTCTATCGACCCTGCACGTACTCAGAGCATAAGAGAATTCCCCCCACCTAAGGACGGAAAGGGCATTTCCCGTTTTGTGGGGATGGTAAATTTTTACCGTAGATTCATCCCAAATGCGGCAGAGTTAACGGCACCTCTCAATTCTCTGCGAAAAAAGGGTTCCAAGTTTGTTTGGGGTATTGAGCAGCAAAAGGCCTTTGAACAACTGAAGGAGGCCATTATTTCTCCGCCTGTATTACGAATGCCCGATTTCGCCCAACCCTTCATTCTTCAAACGGATGCTTCGTCAGTAGTGGTTGCCGCAGTTCTGTCCCAGGAGATCGATGGGTTTCGCCAGCCAATTGCCTTCGCCTCCCGCACTCTCACCGACTGTGAAAGGAAGTCGTCCATCTACGAGTTGGAATGTTTGGCAGTGGTCTTCGGAGTGGACAAGTTTCGACGTTTTCTAGAACACTCAGAATTCCTTTTGGAAACGGATAACCAAGCTTTGTCGTGGCTTCTGGCACACCCTCGTCAACTTGGGAAAATTGGTAGATGGGTTATCAAAATTTCTGCCTTCAAATTTAAGGTCCAACATGTCCGAGGCACTCAGAACATTGTTGCTGATACGTTGTCACGTATGTATAACAATCCCGATAAAAGAGTCCCACAGGAACCCACCAACATTCAGTGCTGCAACATACTTGTTGATTTCCCCAGTGCTTTCGAAGATATATTGTCCTATCAGTCGAAGGATCCGGAGTTGGGACCTATTCTACAGGACCTGCAAGCTGGAGTAGAACACCCTCCATACTTCCTCTCAAAAGGTGTCTTGGCATGTCGTGCCCAAAGAGGCAACAGATCACCGAAGATCGTCCTTCCCAGCAGCTTGATTCCCATGGTTTTCTCGTATTATCATAACTCTTTAATAGGCGGACATTTGGGTATTTTAAAGACCATAGCAAAAATACGTCAACAGTTTATATGGAAAGGTATGGATAGAGACATCGCGGGACGAGTAAGAGCCTGTCACCTGTGTTCGCTCAGCAAACCAGCACAAAATTCTAAATTGGGATTTCTCTCTTCTGAGGTGGCCGAAAAGCCCATGGAGAAACTGTTCATAGACTATGTGGGACCCTTCCCGCGTAGCAAGGATGGCAAAACCATGCTTCTTGTAGCAGTGGACGCTTTCTCCAAATTTGTTTGGTTAATACCTCTACGTCGAGCTACCGCCCAGAGCACCGTAAAGGCTTTGCACTCTCATTTGTTCCAACATTTTGGAGTACCTACCACCATTGTGACGGATAATGGAAGTCAGTTTACCTCACATATATTCAATAGGATGTGTTTTGGACAGGGTATTCTACATGTGACCACATCTCCTTATTACCCACAGCCGTCTCACGCTGAAAGATTTAATCGCAATCTTAGAGCTGCACTAATTGCTTATCATGCTGAGAAGCAAGATTGTTGGGACCAGAATCTTAATTGGCTCCAGTTGGCGTTCAATACTGCTCTGCACGAGGGACACAAATCCATCCCATTTCAACTCATGCTGGGATACAAACCTAATAATCCGCTGTCAAACATTTGGAAAATAAACCATCTACTTCCTGATTCTCCGGACTCCAACATTAAAGAAGCTTGGGCTGCTGCGAAACGAAACCTACATCTCTCTCATGAAAGAGTAAGGAGGAGGTACAACGTGGGTCGAAAAGAGAACCCCTTCAAGATAGGACAATTGGTGTACTGTTTGGCTCATCCAGTAAGCTCAGCTATTGAGAAGAAAGCTGGAAAATTATGTTACCGCTGGACTGGTCCTCACCGAATTGCTCGCTTCCTTTCCCCTGTCACTGCTTTGTTGGTAGATCCACTCAGTGGAGTGAAATTTCGAAAAGCTCATGTTTCCCATCTGAAGGAGTATAAGGGTACAGATCTGAAATAGTTATTAGGTTATAGGCGGGATTAGCAACGTGGGGTCTGATCAGCCCCAAGTTGCCGGTCCTGGGACGTCTTTCTCCCTTGTCTCTTTACTTTGTTTTGTCACCAATCAGCGCTGATTTCCAGGGTGTTCCCCCTAACACCAATTTGGAGAAGACGTCTTTCCCTGTGTTTTCTTGTTTCTGTCCCTGTTCCCCAGGTCCTCCTTTGGTGGGGGAGGTTGAGCCGTGCGAGTTGACGGCTCAGGTCTTCTATTACATATAAGTTTTTTTTTTTAGGCGGAAGTGTCCGCTTGTTTCATTCGCAGGCCGTTGAGCTTCTAGAAGGTTCTCGAACGTTCCAACGTTCCAGTTTTCTCGTCAATTTCCGGTTTTGTGGGGCCGTTTGGGTTGTCGGCTACAGCCAGTCTTCTTCTTGGGTTACGTCTACTGCTCGACATCTTTTTCCCCTTTTCTCGTTGGAAGTTGAATTTAAGTTACCATGTCGTCTTCGGACACTATGTTGTCTTCAAGTTCATCAAAGGGGCGAGCTACAAACATGTCTTCGTAAATATTGATTATGTTGGGTAAGTGATTTTATCGTTAATTAATCAATTGAGTTAGTTTTTTCTGTTGCTCCACACACTGGCAGGATTACCACGTGTGGCCACAATGTTAAAGTTTTATTTTCAGTTGTGGTAAGTTTGTTTAAGTATTTTATGTTGAGTAATTACTTTGTTCTAAGTCAAGTAAACTTTCAGCGATTTATTTAGGTCCTTGGATCTGAGACTTGGGACTGTACGGTCTCTCACCTGAATCGAACCTAGGTTTAGAGAAATGTGAAATTTATTATAGGCTAGGCCTATTCTTTGTCCCAGTGTAGATTCTTTGTTCAAGTGTAATTTCTTTGTTTAAGTGTATTATCTTATATATGTAGGGTCATTTTGTTGTAAAAGTAATTTTTGGGTAACGACTGCAAGTGGTACTGTTTTATGTTAGTTTTACGATGTAGGCTAGGGCTTCACACTATCTAAGCCTTGTTACCAGTAAGACTGAATTTTGTTCAAAACTAGCCTAACTAGTTGAAGTTCATATTCTTCAAGAGTCAAACTATGGCCTAGGCCTAGTACAGATTTTCAATCAAGGGTGCTACCTTAACCTGTAATTGAAGTAGGCCTGTGTTTTACAAGATATTATTGGATGTGAATTATGTTGAAAGGGCTCCCGGCTATGACTGACACCAGCCTGATTTGAGACCTGTGACGAGGCCATGAAGAGAGGACCGAGGACCACACACACACACACATCCTGCTGACCATGTAAGAAGCTACTGCTGCCGGAGTTTGGACAGTGCTGCCGGAGTTTGGACAGCGCTGCCGGAGTTTGGACTCTGCTGCCGGAGTTTGGGCTGTCTATCCTATTGGTGATCCATGCTGCGCCACATCGCAGGTTGTCATCGGTGGAAGCCTACCTACTGTGACCATCCTACAGTTATGCCAGGTGGTGTTGTTCCATTATTACTCTGGCCTATTACAGACTCAGTTACTAGCCAAATTAACAAATTTCAACTCCATTTTGATACGTTCCGTTCTACTCGTCAAACTGTTAAATAGTGTGTGGGACATCCTCGGTCCAGCCTCAATTGTCACAAATATCCAATGTCTTTTTTAACACCTTTCAATTAATTCTTTAATGTGTCAGCAGTTCCTTTGTGATTTAAACTTAGTGTAATAATTTTGATACTCGGCCTAGCCTAGTTAGAATTTATTTCAGTTTTCTTGACCGGCCTAGTGGGCACAATTGGTTAATCTTTGTCTCTAAATTTACTTATTCGGCCTTTCATTCTAAATTTGCCCCTAGTGCCTAAGTTAGGTTCTGATTTAAATCTTAAACATTTTATTTGAAATCTTGTCGTTTTGACTTTGTAAATTTTCATGTCACGACTTACGCTCGATCGTTAATCGTTCAACTGTTTAAGGTGAACTTTTCACCTATTTTGTAGGCCTAACCTTTTAATATCATTCTGTAATCTTTATGTAGGTAATTGAATTTATTAATTTTTTACCAACAAATATTGAGTAGGCTAGTTGTAACTTGTAATGATTTGTAATTGTACTTGTATATATATATTTTGACTGAGATTAAATGGTATTTTGCAATTTCTGTGTTGTTTAATCACCTCCGGAACTTTGTGACTGCTTATGACGGTTGGGCAGCCATGGGCCGAACCTGGTTAGGTTAGGTTAAGGGTCTAGTGCGTTACAAAAGTCATTAATTTGACTAATGTAAAATTTTTATTCATAGTGAAAATTTAAAAACATAAATGTTTCTACTCTTATTATGATATAAAGTATAGAATAACAATTGGTTATGCAATTCATATACTACTTTACTCACTAATAATTGATGGTACAGATTAAGCAAATAACTTTAGAAACACAGACATAACATAAGAAATACACTTTAACCACAAATGCAAATTATAAACAAAAAATTTAAACAAAGGAAAATCTAGGAAATAATAATACAAAAATTAGCTACTATATTATTTAAAAAAAAATAAACTTTCATAATTATTTGCGAATCTACACGGTTGAAGCTTTCAATTTATCAATTAATAAATAAATTCGGTCCAGTAGAACTGAACATTTAGTTAAACAATGTTTAATAAATATCTGTAGTTTAGTATTTTCTCACCATTATAAAATATGAGGTAGGTAAATGATGAGGAAATCGACCTAAGTGGTAGTGATATTCTGAAAGAGAATAAAATTCAGTACAAATTACTATTGAAAATACTCAATAAGGCGGCCAAAATTTGTCTCCAGTAAAAATAAATTTAAAAATCCCCGTTTTCAATGTAAGTGATGGAAAACAGGGTTTTCCACAATAAATCCTAGCAAACAAAACTTTCACTAATGTTTGCAAATCTAAATGGAGTGAGCTTTTCAAAAAATCGTTAATATTAAAGAAATTGGGTACATTCCTGTTAAAGGGAACATTCATGATTATCGATGATTTTTTCTCTATATATCGATATTAACAAATTGAAACATATCAGCTGACAACTACGATAAATATTGTTCAGTATCAACAAACGATAATGAAATGAAACTGTTAAAAAAAACCTAATATAACTAACCAAACTAGCTTTGTAACATTCCATGTTTAACTTGCCTTTTCTGTTATCAAAAGGAGTTTTTAAATAGTACAGCAAGTTTGGTTGGTTATGTTAGGTTAGCTTACAACAGTTTCATTTCTTAATCCATATCATAGACTATTTTAGCCTAAACAGTTCAGTTGTCAATATGTAATGGATCGGTAAACAAAAATATCGATATATCGAGAAAAAATCATCGATAATAGTGAATGTTCCCTTTAACAGGAAAGTAGCAGAAATTGGTTTAGTAGAATGTGTCCAATACTGTATAACCACCTGTTATAATTTATAATGTGTTTGCTGTAGAAGATTGTCAAGTGACCAAAGTGAAGATACTCAATTTAATGAGGAAAGTTGGGGAGCAATCTGGTCTAGTGGTAGAGCGTGGGAGTTCGCCCCACAAGGCCTCAGGTTCAATCCTCGCTAATCACGAAGAGATTTTATTTCAATGATGAGCTCTTGCCCCCTCTAGACACAGCTTAAAGTTATGTGGAAAACGGTTCTGAACCAGAGTCTATAGGAATTAAAACGCTTAAAAATGTATTACATTTGTAAATCCTTTGTTAAAGTAGTTCTTTACAATATGAGGGGAAGTGCAACAGCATTGCAACACCTCAGCAACTATCAGATGACCCGCGAGGAACGAGACCTTGTTGCTACATGTGTAAACTGTGTTTACTACGTTTGCTGCGGGATACTTGTCGCAATCTGTACTTTATACACCTTGTTAGCTTGTAAGTACTAGATACACGTGAAGTATGCTTTATTAATTACCTCAGTTATTTTGATTTTTTTCTAGGACGCTAGGCACGAGTCCGGGATTGTTTTTCGTATTACTTCAGGCTAGATTGAGGGGTAGCTGCATTATCACTTAGATCAAATACATTGGTGATTTGGGGGATTTGAACCTGGGACCTCTTGGACCGAAGTTCCGAGCTGTTTTTTATTTTATTTTACTTTTATTGGACATAACTGCTGTCTTGTTTATTGTATTGTGCTGCTGTATTTTTACTAAATTTTACAAATATATTTCTTCAATATACAAAAGACAACTGCGGTTTAGGAGATAAAAATATCTGTCATCTGCTAGGTTCAAGAAAGTATCATATTCTTTTCACATGCCTGTCTTCATCATTGTAATAAGCTATTTACACTTACACATAGTTACACACAGTTAGACGTTTAAATATTTGAAGGCCTCATGAAACGTTTACTATCAATTAGCTGAACACATACCTGATAATAAATGTTAGGATAATAAATGTTAGGACTTTTTTGTTGATTCTGTAAAACTGAAGGCAGAGGGATATTTTTTGAATTGCCACAGCAACCTAGAAATCCTATCTAACAACCTATTAGATGGCAATTGTGTACAAATGCCTTGTGTAAAATTGCATCAATACGGTGTCCCCTTAACTCTCTGGACACTTGTATATAGCGTTATTCCTTAGGTCAAGACAAACACATTTCACCATAGGAACATGGGTCTGTGGTGTCTAGTTTACCGACTGTCGGCATTTATGTGTTTTTTACATAAACATTAATAACTCCGAAACGGTTTGAGATACAGCTTTGATATTTTGCAAACATGTTAACCTTATTAAGACCTATTACCGTTAGAAATTATACTAAAAAATCATTATCCGTTTCAAAATGGCGGCCATTTAAAATATTTGATGCCAAATTTCACGAAAACCGTTAACTTTACAAAAAAATTGCATGAGACAAAAACGTTAACGGTTTTCGCGAAATTTGGCATCAAATATTTTAAATAGCCGTCTTTTTTAAACGGATAATGATTTTTTAGTATAATTTCTAACGATAATAGGTCTTAATAAGGTTAACATGTTTGCAAAATATCAAAGCTGTATCTCAAACCGTTTAGGAGTTATTAATGTTTATGTAAAAAACACATAAATGCAGACAGTCGGTAAACTAGACACCACAGACCCATGTTCCTATGGTGAAATGTGTTTGTCTTGACCTAAGGAATAACGCTATGTACAAGTGTCCAGAGAGTTACGGGACACCCTGTATATTGGACTGTTTTGTTGTTTAATGAGTTTGTAGACACAACTGTCGTTTTCTTAGGTAAAGATTGTGTATTCTGATGTACTTCTATTGATGGACATCACCCCTAAGCTGTACGATCATCTTCAGTGAGAGGCGAGCAAACATGACGAAACCCAAATTGTTATCTTCATGTTTTACTTTCGCTTTGACGAAGAGAAACATCAGCAAAGTGCTTGAGGCTTCGGCAATGGAGTATAAAGAATGATGAGTTTGTAGCGCAAGACTTGGAGTATCGTTGACTTTTGCAATACATTTAAAATACTAGATTGAAAATAAAACATTTACCTTCGTTTATTACTGAATTACAATTTGGATTTTTTACCAAGTCATTATGGAACGACCTATTATGAGCTGTAGAATGTTTAATGTCACTGCAACTATCTTAGAACAATTAAGCTAGAAAATAAATTTTTTGACACTAGAGTGTGATATGTGACTGGCTCATAGAACTTTGTTTTAATTTTTTTTTATGGGTCGTTATAGATTGAATTTCTACTACATATCCGAAACTTATTAAAAAATTTAAGAAGAGATTTGAAATAAAATATAGTCCTTTATACTTCCGTTAAACAGACATTTCCTCACTATGTTTCTTTGGTTTATCTTTAACTAAATGCAATGCGTTTTGCTATTTTAAATTTTTGCATCTTATTTTAGTAAATAACTTCTTGATCAGCATTGTACGTGTTATGAAATTTATGGAAAGTAAATAAAGGAAAAGTCTTGTAACACTTAAAACAGATGTATTTACACTTATACTGTTACTTACAAGACGGTAAATATACAAAAAAGATGGTAAGTGGTGACCGATTTCGATTGGACACTCCAATCATCATCAGACCTAATAGGCGAATGACCAATACAAATGACCAAACAAGTGTTATGAGACGTTTCCTTTGTTTACTTTCCGTCTTATTTTAGTTCGTAAAATTCAATTTTTCAGGTTGAAAATAGTTATTTACACTATTGTACCTTTACGTTTATTTATTGAATCTATTAAAATGGAATATGATTAATAAATGTGAACCTCTAAGCTTAACTATAAAGTTTCGTCATGTTTGACTCGTTAAAGAATATATTTTCGTTTGAGACTTGTTTTATTAATTAAAAATATTTTTCTGAGACGTATTGTGAACCAATCAAACCAAGATAAAACTGATACGAAGCAAATACATAAATTAATCCATTCAACAACTACTCTTTATAGAACGCCATATTTTATACTACAATTTAATTAAATTGTCAAGACTGTGCAAAAACCGACATCTCTTTCTCGCAGTATTCGTACAATTTTAATTACAAGACATGTCAAGATCGTCCGGGAGTCTGTGAATTCCTACACAACGCTTGGCGTTCCAGTAATACCAACACCAGCAGAGTTGTTATATTATTTGACCAGACCTCCGACCTTGGGCTCGCACTAATGTTACCATAACCATATATAAAGCGATACAGATCTAATAACACGATATTACCTAAACCCTGTATATCACATGCGTGTTTAATAAATATACGTTAATAGCCTTGATTTAATTAAAGCAATTTTCCAACTGGGATTTTATCATGAATATTGCGTGCAATAAAAGTACATGGTTGTGTAAAAAGCTTACTAAAAATGCATACTGTACAAAATTAAATGTTAACGTGGAAGACCAAATAGGCTAGAATAAAAAAAAAACGCATTGGAAAAGGTTTTGGCTAAAAATATTTACAAAAAGTTTCTAAAGTTTCTTGCTATAATCATAGAAACAAAATTGATTACTCAAGTTCGTGAAAACATAGGGAATTTAGAAACATTATAAGTATGTTCCACAAATAAATCATCCTTATACAAATTAATATTCAAATCTAGGGATGATGTCCTTTTTAAACATAAATGAGAAGTTATTTTTTAGTCTGGTTCATCAAGAAAACAAAACAGATTTT